CCAAGCCAAGTAAATCTCATAATGTGAACACAAATGTGAAACGGCACAATTCAAGTCAGAATTTGATTGCGGAAAAGTTGCCATTCCATGTGAATAATGTATTGATTTTATGCGGGGGGGGGGTTATAATTTTATTGCAAATATTTTTCAAATTCTTACCAGAAAAAGTGGTACTTTGATTGAGGAAAAAAAAATCTGAATTTAATGGGAAAAGTTGGAATTTTATTTTTAAAATGTCACAATTTGAATCAAAAAAACAAGTCCTTTCATAGAGTGAAAATATGTTAATTTCAGTCAGAAAAAAATGTCATTTCACTGGGGGGGAAAAAACAGAAAAGAGGATCGTGACACCTCTTATTTGTTTGTTTGTTTGTTTGTTTGTTTGTTTGTTTGTTTATTTATTTAAGGAAAATGTTTCATCTTCTTATTTATCTGCCAAACTACTGCTTGTTGCGAAGTGACTCGAGTTAAGTCAACACCACTGTTATATTAAGAAGAAAATTGTAATTTGAATAAGCGTAATATCATTTGACACGCTTCGCCGAATCACCAGATCAAAAGTTGCAAGCATTAGGTGGTGTACTGTATCGTCAGCGTGCTTCACGGTAGCAGTCAGCATCCCCTTGTGGCCAGCGTCTGCAACCGTTTACGGGAATCTTCTGCTGCTGACGTCAGCATGCAAATTCCGCGCTGTCCTTTTGAAGCAGCTGCCTCTCTAATCATCCTTAACGTTGGCTGCTATTCTCTTTCCGATGACTTTTCCAGACAGCGCCGTCCGGCTCCCTCCCACATAGCTGAGGAATTTGGCACCTGGACAAAGATGAAGACGGTCAGGGCCGTGAGTAGACTGTAAACGTGCAGGACGCAATGTTTTTTATTTTTAATTATTATTAATTTTTTTTTCAAACCTCACACTGTCATGGCTGTAGTCCCACAGGCAATTCCGCCCAGAGATGTAAGTGATATTTTTATTTTCCTCCTCTTGTTGTCGGGGTGCTTTCTTCTGACTCGCGTGGCAACCTGCTACCACAACACCATCAGTCAAACGCATGTCTGAGCCCTCAAGAATGTCACGCAAGTGCACAACAAAAGCGTCCAGCATGCACACATGGGGTACAAAATAATATTTGGGGCGTGGGGGTGAACATGTCACCTTAATAGAGGTGGCGAATGTAAATTGTGGAAAAAATTAAAATCACTGATTTAACTCCATAAGAAAAAAAGTGTACGAACACTGAAATGTACTTAGGTGCAGAAGTAAACATTTTCTTTTATACCGGTAATTTTTTTTTTTTCTTCTTCAGTATGTTAACTTGGCACAACAAAGAAAAAGCACCACCAAATAGTTTTCCTCCTCCTTAACTTGAAAGCTAGGTCTGAAATGCAAGCTAAATTCTGGCAGGATATTCAAGACTACTGACAACAGGAGCAAAACAATAACACACACACAAAAAAAATGCTCATTTAGGTAATAATAACAAATGATAAAATGCACTTTAATTGTATGTACATATTCAAAATTAGAACAATTTGAACATCAGAAGTTGGTAGTTTTTAGGCTAGCTTAATGCCAACGCTTAATGCAAAACAACATAGACCGACTCACGTTAATTAGCATAGACGGTAAAATAATTATAAACCTTAAAATAATGCTGCTTTAACACCTATGGAGCAGCAACACATACACACAGAGCAAGAGCATTGTTCAGAGGAAAAAATATGTATTATACAAAGGAAAGTTAGCTCGCTTAATGCTAGCATATTCGGTGAACCGTCATATCTAAGCTAATGTACATTAGCATAGATGCTATGGTAATTTTAACCACTTCAACTGGTACTTTACCACACATGGAGCAGCAACACAAACAAACCGAGGATACAATCATACAGGTATATATGTTCTCTGCTTATGGGCACTGCGACTATAACTGGTGTTTTAGTAGGGGTTCGTCTCTGCCTCGTCTTCTGGCTCTTGATTACACTCTCAGATCTCAGCGGTGCCTGGCAATCGTTTAAAAATTTGCGATATTGTGGGGGAGGGACACTGTTAGGCATCAATAAGAAGTAAATTGTGCTGTCGTGTTTGTGCCATGAACTGAAAAATGTGCTTTTACAGTGCAGTAGTCATTTTGAAATCCGCTTGTGTGTTTTATTTTGCTCATGTTTCAGCACGTAGCATGGCGTGAAATATCACCCCGCCCCCCCAGGGCCCCCCAAATCATTTGATGACAGTGTTCGTGGTACTAGCGATGCTTTGAAAACAGTTGGCCTCATTTCAACAGGATGTCTTAATGTGTGTACACATGATGTACTAATGACTTGCTTAAATTATTAAATATGGTATTTAATGATGTCATTCTCTTTTTGCTGTCATTATTTGGAGTTAATTTTGTTGCCCAATGGAAAGATTTGTTGCTATATTGTATAATGACTGCTCAAATTAGGTTGTCAGCTTGAAGCTAATTCGCACCGGACTTCAAACAGACACTGCTATTTCCCCCGCCGGAACAACCAAAAATATAGGCGGTTTAGCTCCTTATTTACTGCCTGTTAAAGCACAAATCTCTCTCTTCTACTTTGTGCACTAACAAAAACTACTATTGCTGGTTCAACTTCTTTGAAGAAATGTTTGAATATATTTTTAAATGGTATTTTACTCAAATTTATTTCGTCAAGTGGTTGCGTGAGATAAAATCATCTGGATCCAGATACTTTAAAAAAATGTGTCCGGATCCAGATGATTTTATTTTGTGCGACCACTTGACAAAGTAAGATTGAGTAAATCCAACACATCATGTTTTTCAAATATATGTGAAGTACTATCTGAAAACTAGTAATTAACTTACTGAGGAAATCAGAGATGAAAGTCCTCCGGATTTTCCCGGAATTCCGGGTTTTTCAAATTTTTATGAAAATTTCTCCGGAGAATTGAGGAAAATTTGCATAAAATTAATCCGGATATTAGTTGACAACATTGAACGAAGACGCGTTTGAGTTCGTTGTATTGCTTTCACGAGCGTAGCCATATTGAGGCACTAACACTAGTAACAGTAAAGAGATTTTTGTTTGTGTAATAACGACAGAAGACATGATGGCGTTTGACTAATGGTTTAGTAGAACGAATGGCAACTCGCAACAACAGTAGCAAGCGTCATTTTGCCTCTTTGGTTATACCATCTCAACTAGAACCCAGTGGGGGTTAGTCCCCAAACAATTTGGACTTCCGTGCATACACTGCCACCAGTGGGAATGAGATCAGATAAAATGTTTGGGACAAAAGGGATAAAAACAACCGGCCATGAGAGAAGATGTATCAGAGTTATCAACAGCCAAGGGTGCATCAAGAAGAAAAGATGAGCAAGTCATGTTTAGCTCTGCTTTGTTTTTGTTTGTTTGGTCAATGAACACCTGCACACGAACGCAAAGTGAAACAAGTCACATGACACTGCTTTCATTCCCCCTATAACTGTGTGTGTGTGTGTGTGTGTGTGTGTGTGTGGGTGTGTGTGTGGGTGTGTGGGTGTGGTTGTGTGTGTGTGTGTGTGTGTGTGTGTGTGTGTGTGTGTGTGTGTGTGCGTGCGTGCGTGCGTGTGTGTGTGTGTATATATATATATATATATATATATATATATATATAAATTTTTTTTCCGGAATTTTCAGAAAAGTCCACTTTCATCTCTGGGAAATCTAGTATAGCTAGCCAGCAAAGTAGACAGCGGTGTTCATCACCTGTGTGATGCTTTCATGAGTAATAACATGGCAGTTTGGTCTTGCAGTGGAAACTTTGCTCATGTTGCAAGCAAATCTGAACTACGGAAGCTGGTGTTTTGCCCGCAGTCATCATATTTTACCAGCGTGACCACAAAAGGGCTTTCCGGAGAAAGTCACTTGCTGGCAACATGAGTCACGATACACCGGGGTGAATGCGCTCTGAGTGTCACGGCTGACTTTCGCCTTTGTGTCAATCACAGCACTGACACATTGGGGACAAACTGCTGCACATTTTTGAGTATTCAAAAAATGTTTGCATTTACGTAACCATAGACTTTTTTTTTTAACCTAGCAGAAAAAAAAGTCCACAACCAAAACAATTTAGTCTTCAACATGCCTAACATCCCATTTTTTGTCAATATCAAAGAATTTTCTGCAGAACCTAAAATTCTAAAACATTTTTGAGTCATTAACGTGATTTAAAAAAAAAAAATTGGTTTGTTTGGGGGGTTTGGTAAGCGGCAAAGGCAATTTAGACTCTGACAAACCTGACATTCGGAAGCCTCAAAGAGGAATTTTGGTCTTTCAGCAATTTTTTTTAACATTAAAAAAATTACTTGTAATTGAACACCATAGAATAGATAATTGTGAGTCATCAACCAAACTGTTTCAGTAGACTTTCAGTGAGCCTGGTGTAATTTTGTAGTTATTTTTTATTTTTTTAACATGAAAGACTTGGAGGCGTTTTTATTTAACAACAGACAATTTAGCCTTCAGTGAAGCTAATTAAATATTTTCATAAACCTCAAAGAAAATGTAGTCTTCAAAGAACCTGGCGTCACATTAAACACTATTTTGTCTGTGTTTTTGGACAGATCAAAGACCATTTCATTTAGAGCACAGGTGTCAAACTCAAGGCCTGGGAGCCAGATCTGGCCTGCCACATCTTTTTATGCGGCCCGCGAAAGCAAATCAAACTTTCCATGATGCTGGCTAAAATCTCAACCAAAATTTAAATTTCTCATATGTTAAAAGAAATACTGTTGAAATTTTCCTATTACCCAACCCTTCGTTCCAGTAACTAAAACAATAGTTTATAAACCCTTATTTTTGACTTCTTTATATGGTTTCAGTCAAAACGCTCCCCCACCGCAAATCTTCGCTTACCATGATTGTCCATTTTATTTTATTTTTGGGGGGGGGGGGGCTATTAGCCTTCAATGAACGTATTTCTAATAGCTTTAGCCCAGGAGAGGCAGCTCGTTTTTTTATTTTTATTTTTTGTCTTTTCTTCGTTTTAACCTCTAGCTAGCCATGACTCTTATTAGCATTCTTGTGGCTGGTGTTTTTTAAGAGTAAAACAGAAACACCGAGGCAACTCTTTGACGGCCATGCGTGCCTTCCAACTTTAAAACTTCTGAGTTATGCACCTCCTCGCCGTCATTGGCTGTGTCCCGAGGGGAGCCGTGATGCATGTTTAGACATCTCACGTGTATGGGGGGGCACACGGCGGAATCTTCAAATTAAGGCTTTTGCTCTCCAGCTCAGACGGCCATCATCATTTGAGTCAGTGGGTGGGGGCTAACGAAGACTACAAATATCGGGCCCCCCTCTAGCCGGATACCTACTGGGGCACGTAGCCGCTCATATGCTCCTCGTTTTATTTCTCTGCTTCTCGGATACTTTTGGAGTGGGGCCACTTAGCCGCCGGATTACGACTGTAACTTTTTTTCGTCGCCGTCATGTTGAGGAACAACAATGTCGTCTTCTCCTGTTTTGTTTTCTACGCTGTGCTGCTGCTGCTTAAGATGTACGTTCTGGCCTTCATCACCGGACAAGTGAGGCTACGCAAGAAGGTGAGTGAGTGAGTGAATGTTTTGAGAACCAATGGTGGAAGTGTGAGTGAGGGAGTGAGTAGATGCTTTGAGATTGAACGGTGGAGGTGTGAATGAGTGGATGAATGTTTTAATCATGAATGGTAAGTGGATAGTTTGTGAAAGAAGGATGAAAAGAGTGAGTGAGTGTTTTGAGAATGAACGGTGGAAATATACACGAGTGAGTGGGTGAATTTTTTAAAGAAAATGGAGGGGTGATTGAGTGAGTGGATGTTTTGAGAATGAATGGTGGAGGCATACGTGAGTGAGTGGATGAATGTTTTGAGAATGACTGGCGGAAAGGTGTGAGAGGATGAATGTTTTGGAAATGGATGTTGGAAGAGTGAGTGAGTAGACGTTTTGAGAATGAATAGTGGATTCCATGAGCGAGTTGAAGTGATTAATCCAGGGGTGTCAAACATATGGCCCGCGGGCCGGGACTGGCCCCCAAGGAGGGTTGATCCGGCCCGCGGGATGATTTAAAAGTGAAAAAAAATGCATTAAAGACACAGAATGAATATTTTAAATAAAATGCAATTTGTGCATTATCCGCTAGGGGGCACACTGTTTTGATCACAGTAGAAGACAACATTGTTTTGATCGGGGAAGAAAACAGCAGTCTCAGTCTGTCACCGAGATAGACCCAACGCAGCAAATGATATGAAAGCGCCAATCAATGCTTCTTGAGACCAAAACAAAGGAAAGAGATGATATTTTGGTGATTCATAGCACAGTATGGTATAATGTTAATGGTCCGGCCCACTTGACATCTACCGAGTCCGTATGTGGCCCACAATGTGAAATGAGTTTGACACCCCTGGATTAATCTTTTGAGACCGGGTGGCACAAGAGTGATTGAGTGGATGAATGTTTTTAGAAGCAGATGTGGAAGAGTGAATGAGTGTGAGGTAGTGTACGTTAGTAGAATAGATACAAGGATACAGAGTGAGTGAAGCTGTGGATGGACAGATTTCTTCATGAAAAAAAGGATGTTTGGATGAATGGAAGGGTGAGCGAGTGACTGATCAATCCGGACTCCGTGATGTCAAGGCTGGAAGTGTCACAACAGGTGTTGTTTTGTTCTATCGTGACTGATCAATCCGAACTCTGTGATCTCAAGACTGGAAGTGTCACAACAGGTGTTGTTTTGTTCTATCTTGAAGGCTTTTGCCAACCCAGAAGATGCAATGAGACACGGAGGACTGCAGTATCACAGGCTGGATCCCGACGTGGAAAGATGCCGCAGGTACGGCCCACAAAACTGTCAAAACACCGTCATGATAAAACATTGTCCCAGCACTATTACAACACCAAGCTAATGTGTTTTCCTCCCCGTCATACATGTTTCCATGTCGGAAACAAACTCCACGTGATGGGTTTTCTTGTTCGGCAGAGCTCACCGCAACGACATGGAGAACATCTTCCCCTTCCTCTTTCTGGGGGCCATCTACTCCATGACGGGTCCATCCCTGGGGACGGCGCGCCTCCACTTCGTGGCGTTCACGGCGGCCCGCGTGCTGCATAGCGTGGCTTACCTGGCGGCGCTGCCGGCGCCCACCCGCTCGCTGGCCTATGTGGCGGCGCAGGTGCCCTGCCTGTCCATGGCGCTGCAGATCATGGCGGCGGTTGCCAGCTACGCGTAGACGCCGCCGTGTTTGACTTTTTAATCGGAAGTTTAGTGAAGGGGGAGGGCGACGCTTTCCCAAACTGTCTTGCTCGTAGAAAGGCAATGTGGGCTTTTGCCGTCAGCGAGCCTCAGAATTTGGGGGTGTTTTTTTTTTTTTTTTTTTTTTTTTTTATTGCACGAAATCAGAAAAAGCCACTTTTCATAAACATCAAAGACAATTTAGGATCTTCCACACGTATTTTCATAATCCACTATTGTAGAATAAAGAATAGAATAGAGCAGTGACTTTTTGTCAACTTTATCTTCAACCAAGCAAATGTAGATGTTTTCTATTTAGTTTTTGTTTTTTTTCCGTAAACACCCGAAAGATCATTTAGAGTCCTCCGTCGACCTGTCGTTTGTGATTATTTCATAAACATAAAGTGACGCCTTTTGTGCTGGGGAAAAAGGTTTGGGAAACCCGGATTTTCACCCTGATGTTTACACACAAACTATTTTGTCTGGTGGAAGTGTGTTGTGACAGCATCAAGAATCGAGTCACGCTGTGCTCTTTTCGCTGATATTTTTGTCTGTACTTGAAAACTTGAAGGAAGCTCCTCATGGACTGAATATTTAACCTGTCTGAATATCTTATTTATTTATTATTTAACAAAAAAGTTTGGGGGATGTTTTTGTTGTTGTTTTTTTTTTGCTGTGTGTGCAAATTGAGAATAAAAGCTTAAACTGGCTGGATGTTTGGAATCACTCCTGACTTCAATATTTTGTAGTGTTTTTTTTGTGTGAAGGCTGAAGGCACCTGAGGAATGATTTTCAACTTGTCAAAAAATAAAATCCCACTGACCACAAATTCAACATTTCCACCTTTAGAGGAAACACAAAAAAATACCCGATTTATTCCAAATGACACTTTCAGCAAAACAGACTCATATTTTCCACATTTGAAGTTGCAAATTTTCAGACCAATCACTTCACATACCATCATATTCGGGTTTCATACTAGGAGTAGGCTGGCAGGCGACTGCATTCCTGCACCCATTATGCAATTGCCTTGATATCCCGAGGGGCCCCCAAGCCAGGGCGGGAGCGAGTTACAGCCATTACGGCATCACCCTGAAATGCTCTTTTTATCATCCCGTGCCTCAAGGGGATGTTTTATGATATTCTACCTCCCCCCTCCCAAAAAAAATTAAAAAAATAAAAATAATACAAAATTCTCCCCAGTGATTTTCCAACAAGGTGTGACTCATATCGCCGAGCCGGAATTCGAGATCATTATGGCGTTTTCCTCACGAACAAAAGAAACAGGAGTGTGTGGGAGGTTCCAGGGAAAAGCCATTTAATCCAAGAAAGGGGCGTGACCATAACTTTTGCATTTGTCAGTGTGCAGCTGAAAAAAAGTTTTACGAGCAGAAAGTGAGAAAGAGCTAAAGTGATGACACGCTTGGAATTTTTTGCGGAAATTCCATTAATGCCATATTTGTGTGTTTCACCAGAAGAAGAACATAACTATCCAGAGGGACAATACCAATCAAAGACAAAAGATAAATACCCCCCCAAAAAACGACCATTTATAGTAAGCCGTTTTTAGCCCCCACCAAAAACACCATGTATAGTAAGGCGTTTTTAGCCGAAAAAAAAGACCATGTATAGTAAGGCGTTTTTAGCGCAAAAAACGACCACGTATAGTAAGGCGTTTTTTGCTCAAAAATGACCATGTAAAGTAAGGCGTTTTAAGCCGAAATAAATGACCATGTATGGTAAGGCGTTTTTAGCCGAAAAAAAAAGACGATGTATAGTAAGGCATTTTTAGCTGAAAAAAACGACCGAAAAAAACGACCATGTATAGTAAGGCGTTTTTTGC